AAAAAAAAAAAAAAAAGTGGGCCAAATACATGAATAGGAAACTGGGACTGGGGGCCTGCTTTTTATGTCCAAGTTAGTAGAAATTAAAAATTGTAACCTTGCCCTGTTAACAGCAGTCGGCCCCTTCCCCGAGTTCCCTGACTTTGCTGCAGCAGCTCCAAGGCACACTGGGGGTTGTTGGCTTCTTACAAAGAGCAGTGCAGAGGACCTGGAGGAGCATCAGCTAGAACGATGGCCAGGCCAGCACATGGGAGGGCTGCAGAGCTCCGTTCTTGGCCTCCCTGCTTGCAGGTATCAGGCAGAACCCTGCAGGCTCAGCTCTCTGCCACTCTTAGAATCTGCTTCTTTTGAGAAGTTTCTTTTCTTAGCGGACAGAGTTAGTTTGGTTTTTTTAGACAAGATCTCACCGTGTAGTTCAGGCTGGTCTTGAACTCATGGTGATCTTCCTGCCTCAGCCTCCTAGGTGCTAGTATTATAGGCATGCACCACCACACCCAGCTTCTTTTGGGTTTTTATGGCATGTTCATTATCATAGGCATGGCATGAGTAATTAAATAGCTGTCCAGGGTGGCAGGAGAGCTCAGAGGCCTAAAACGCCTGCTTAGGCAAGCACACAGGAACCATGCTTCGATCCCTGGCACCGCATGCTGTGCCAGTCCTGCCCCCAGTGTGGGCTTGCTGGCCACAAAAAAAGATAGATAGATTGATTAGATAGATTAGATAGATTAGATAGATAGATAGATAGATAGATAGATCGATCGATAATCGGTTTCGGACAGCCTTTTCCCTGCCAGAGCTACAATGGGGCTTCAGCCCTCCTAGCCGTGCCCTGGTCTTCCTGGTGAGCAGCCACAACCTTGATGCTGCCTAGGGATCCCTAGCCGCAGGCAGCTCGGAAACATGCAGCGGGCGTGGGAGCCGGGTGCTGGGAAACGGGGCGCAGGCTGCGGATTTAGCAGCATCACACCTCCCTGCCAGTGGTACTTACGCTTCAGCCTCCTGCCTGTACTTACCAATATTTTTCGTATCTTTTAGTATTTCCACCTGACGTTTCTTTTTGCAGACACTTGATACCATTACCATGGCAACTAGTATCACCTGTCACATATGGCAGGCGACACTGACCTGAGAGCCAGAGGGCAGACAGGTCTGCCATCACAGCCGCGTGGCACGCGAGGGCAAGACTGCAAGCTCAGGGACGCCTCGGGTAAACCGAGGAGCGCCTGCCCTATGGCACGCATGATAGAGAGGGCTAGCGATGTAGTGCAGTGCTCCCTGGAGGGGACAGGCCCAGGAGAGAGCGCCAGGTAGGAAAACAGCGGGCGCTGTTGAATCTCGTGTGAGCATCATAAAGCCAGTCCACAGCGGCCCTGTGCATAAGTTAACGTTCCTCCCCCCTCTCTGTACGCATGGTGCTGTTCACATGTGTCATGCGGTGTGATTAGAGATGCACAGATCCTGTGGGTGTGGCTTCCTTGATTTGCTGTCACATGAAGACCTGCTCTGTGTAATAAACTCAAAACAAAATAACCTTAATAGCAGCCAGCACTTACATTTTAGAAGCCCATCAAAAATAAAGTAGAGGGCCGGGGAGATGGCTCAGTAGAATAAGCACTTCCCTGGCAAGCGCAAGGGCCTGAGTTCAATCCCTGGTTCCACCAAAAAAAATAAAAATAAAGTAGAGGGCTGGGGAGAAAGCTCTTCTAAGCACCTGCCTGGCAAGTGCAAGGACCTGGCTTTGATCCCTGGTACAGCATGCCGTGCTGGCCCTGGAACCCTGGGAGCACCACGCCAGCCGCCAGAACCAGGCACGATAGTGCACGCCTGTAATCCCAGTACTCAGGAGGCAGAAAACAGAAGAATCGGTATGAGTCTGATCTATGTAGGGAGACCCTGCAGACCCTGTACCAAATACTAAATAAATAGAAATAATTATTTATAATACATAAATGATTATTAATTAATAAAGTAGAAAAAAGTTAGTGTGTTCACAAAGTACAAAATAGTCTCCAATGGTAAAGCTGCTGGGTCCCAAGAGTGTACGCTCAAAACTGCAAGGTGTTCTTATATTGGAAAACATTAAAGCTTTGAAAATGTTTACATTTTGTGTTTTTAAGACCTAGCCACCATGGAAGAAAGAGTACAAAGACGATATTATGAGAAGCTGACAGAATTTGTGGCAGATATGACCAAAATTTTTGATAACTGTCGTTACTACAATCCAAGTGACTCCCCTTTTTACCAGTGTGCAGAAGTTCTTGAATCTTTCTTTGTACAGAAGTTGAAAGGATTCAAGGCCAGCAGGTAAGCAGTTGTGCTCTGTGCTGTGAACTAGTCCAGCAGGCAAAGCTAGACTTTAAATCCATAGGCCTTTTCCTTTGAACATCTGATGACATTGAAATGTGTCACTTGGACCTTTGTGCTTTCTGATTCCAAACCACAACCCCCCTTTCAAGCCCATGATTTTCCTTCTTCTCATAGAAGCCTGGTTTACTTTTCTGTGATAGCCACCACCATTCTTCAGCCTTTGCCCACCAACCCATGAGTTCCATTATCCATGGACATTCAGATTGGGTTGAGCACGCCTGGGGTGGGCCTGGGTATTATGAGCCCCTAAACAAGACCAGGTGCAAGAAGGAACATTCTGGGCGACGGGGGCTGGAACTCGCAGTGGGTCACTGGGCTCAGGACAAGCGCTAGGGACAAGAGTTCAACATCCTGTCTAGTACATTTCCTCCCTCCAGGGAATATATTTGGGGATATTTTGTCTTTTTCTCCTGTAGCAAGGTAGATAGTTACCAAGAGCTATATTTAAAAATGAAGCATAGACCCAGCTGAAGTATGAAGTTACATTGCCAGGAAAGGATTGAAAAACTGTAGTGAAAGAAAAAAGGACAGGAGGGAGGCTCATGACCAAAAACGAAGAAACTGCCAAATCTCAAATTTCTAGTGTTTGCCATTCCTTTCTGTTAATTCATTTGTTGTCAAACTTAAAAAGGGACTTTAAGTGTAATAAAATCCTTATTATGAAGAAATACAAGAATATAAAACATAAATCCATAGTAGTAAAGAGACTTCTTTGAAATCTAATAGACAAGAGAAAAGGAAAAGAGGGATTAATCAAGATCAACGTATATGGGTTGGAAGTGGTCCTGGACCAGGGTGGGGCGGGAGACGTCACTTGACCACCTATAATGGACTTGCCAGCCCCCCAGAGTGACCCAGCCCATCATGTCAGGGGCGCTGATACTGAGAAACCCTCACTTCTCTGAAGGAAGACTTGCCTGTGAGCCCAGTGTGTGTGCACGCTGGCCTGCCTGGCCTCCCTGCCTGGCCCATAGCTGTCCTTATGACATGTTAGACCCTGGGGACAGCCAGGCCTGGAATGAAAGCCTGCAGTGTGAAAGAGTAAGGTTGGAGGAGGGCAGTTGAATAAATACCAGGGAAACAAATAATTTTTAACACTTTTTTTTTTTTTTTTTTTTTTTAATTTTACTTATGTATGTGTGTGTGTGGCCAGCTCAGCCCACCAGGGGGCGGGCTGGCTGGCATGTGGTGCTGGAGGATCGAACCGCAGTCCCTGTGCTTTGCTGAGCTTGTTCTAAGTAGGTCTATGGCTCTTACACCACTGAGCCATCTCACCAGCCCCAAAACAGATAATTTTTTTAAAAATAACTTCTAGGGGCTGGGGAGATAGCTCAGTAAAATAAGCACTTGCCTGGCAAACACAAGGTCCTGAGTTTAATCCTCAGTACCGCAAAAAAAATAAAAATAAAAGTAACTTCTAAGTCATGTGCAGAAAGTAAGTTTAGAAAACACTGCATCTGTATCATGATGAACAGACTGTTAAGAATAATCAAAGAAGAGGAAAGAATCATTGTAAAACAGCAAGTTGTCAACCCTCCCAACATAAAGATTAAAAAGAGAGATGAAAATTATGAAAAAAAAAGTGTGATAGGGTTTGGGGAGATGGTCTGAGCACCTGTCTGGTGAGCGCAAGGACCTGGGTACAGTCCCCAGTACTGCATGCCACACCCGCCCCAGAACCCAGAGCAAGCTGTACCAGCCCCGGAAACTGGCCGTGTGGCCCACACCTGTAGTCCCAGCACTGGGCAGCCTGAGACAGGAGGATCTGCTACAAGTGAGAGCTGCGTAGCCAGACCCTACTTGTTCACACATACATACATGATTTTCTTTAAAAAAAGAAAAAATATGATAGTGTCCGATACTCATTGAATGGCAATTCCAGAAAAAAATGGGAAAGACAGAAGAAATTCTTCTCTGTAATGTCCTGAGCTAATGAGCGGCACAGTGCTTCAAGTCCAAAAAACAAATTGGTTCCTCAGCAAGTAATTACTGTGAACTTGCTGGGTGCTGGTCCTGGGAGTGGCTCAACGAAGCCCCTCTCCTGTGTGGAGCTTACCTTCGTGTGGGAAGTTGAGGAGAACAGTTGCCCAGCATTGTAACCAAGTAGACAACTGGAGAAAAAAATATAGATATAGATATAGAGATATAGAGTTATAGAGTTATAGAGATATAGAGATATAGAGATATAGATATAGATCTGTATGTGTTAAATTTCCACAACCCCAAGGATAAGTAAGCGCTTCTGCAGAGAACAGTGCAGCTTATAAAATACCAAGAGTTAGACTGGTGCTGGACTACAGTAGGGAATGTTACAAGCTTATGGAGGAATAAATCCGAATGTTTGAGGAAATGTTTTCCAGCTTAGATGAGTATGTAAAGCCAAATGAGGGGCTGGTGAGATGGCTCAGTGGTCTAAGGCACCTACTTAGAACAAGCTTAGCAAAGCACAGGGACCGCGGTTCAATCCCCCAGCACCACATGCCAGCCAGCCCCGCCCCCTGGTGGGCTGAGCTGGCCACACACACACACACACACACACACACATATAAATAAAAATAAAATAAAAAAAGCCAAATGAGTGCAGGGCATTGTATGTTTTTCTGAGTGTGAGGAAGAGGGATCTTTTCTTGGCAGATTTTTGCAAGATACGTGCTATAGCAGAAATGATGCAGACAGAGAAGTAAGGCCTGAGGTGCGGGAGACCTGAGTGCTGCTGCAGCCTGGGGCTCCATTTGTACAGCACATCTGTACTGCAGGCCCTCCACATTGGAATGGGAGAGTGGAGTTCTCGCAAGGCAGAATGACTGATACAGCAAATGATTTGGTTAAGATAGAAAAGCCTAAGGCAGGGGGCCAGGGAGATGGCTCAGTAGAGTAAGTGCTTCCCTGGCAAGTGCAAGGGTCTGAGTTCCATCCCCGGTTCCACCAAAAAAAAGAAAAACCTAAGGCAGTGATAAAACTGATGAACTTGGGGCCGGGGAGATGGCTCAGCAGAATAAGTGCTTCCCTGGCAAGTGCAAGGGCCTGAGTTCAATCCCTGGTTCTGCAAAAAAAAAAAATGAACTTAAAGGAACAGAAAAGACAAATTCCATAAAAAGAACAGGAATTCCCTTAGAAGCTATGAAGAAAAAACTTCACGTAGTTAAAAAGCATGATATTGAGGCCAGGGAGATGGCTCAGTGGAATAAGCACTTGCCTGGCAAGTGTAAGGGCTTGAGTTCAATCCCTGGTTCCACCAAAAAAAAAAAAAAAAAAAAGCATGATTTGTCAGTTTTTAGAATTAGCCTATAAATAGAGCATAGAAACCTAAGTTAAAGTGAATGAGAAAATTGAACCTGGACTCAAAACTGAGAGATGGGGAAACAGTCAAATAAGCTCCTTTTGCATTTGCCGGACCAGGGTGTGAACAAAACAAAATAGATAAAACAAGAAATAACAGTATAGCAAGTCTGCCCAAAGAGCTGGATGGGACCGTGCCACTCCCTGGGGACCTGGCCTTTGAGTTGAGGGAAAAGAGGGCCCAAGAGCGTGGCTGCCCTTCCAGCCGCTGCGCACTTCCCTTCTGCACCCAGGATGTGAGGTGGCGCTGCTGGCGGAAAGGAGGAAGCCTGTGTGGTTCCCAGGGCTTGTGCGGACCGAGGAGTGTGGGGAAGGAGGACAGGGCCTTCTAGCTGGGTCTGTGCAGTCCCCTGGCCCCTTGGTGCTCTGGGCTCTGGGGTCATTGCTGGGGACCAACTCAGTGCCTTTCATCTGCCAAGCACTTTCTGTGCCACTGAGCTACACCCCAGTCCACAGAAGCCACTTAGGACTCCTTGCCACATACGCTGTGGGGACGCTCATGCATTCAGGTTTATATAATTTTTATTAAAGCACTTGGGGGCCGGGGAGATAGCTCAGTGGAAAGAGTGCCTGACAAGCACAAGGTCCTAAGTTCAATCCCTGGTACAGCACCAAAAAAAAAGCTCTTGGAAGCTAAACAGAAGTTTACTCAACTGTGCTTAAATAAATTGCAGTGTAAGGTTATTTGAAGGCAACTCTTGTCTTTTAAGGGAATATCTGAAATTTCCAGCAGAATGTAATATTAGTCACTGAAACTTATTTAGTTCCTTGCCATATTTACCCATTTTTAATTTATGATCACCAATATTATTTTTTAACATTCTTTTCATTACTCTTATTTTGTTGAGATTTGCCATTTATACCATCCATGTTCTTTCTTTTCTTACAGATTATGATATCTTTAGTCTGAATTTTTACTGGAATCAGAGCTGGATGTTGGGTCACTGTTTGTTGTACCACGTGGTTACCTAATTCAAAATTGCCCCCACAAAAGATTAGTTAATATAATTTTTAATATTAAAGATGTATGATGGTAGAGAATTCATTCTAGCAGCCATGTTGAACAGTGTATTTAAAAATTGTTGTATACTTTTGCAATACTGTATTTGTCTACTACAACATAAAGTATTTTGACTTAGTCCTGATAACTGTACAGTAATTTGGTTTACTAATGAAAGTGATGAATAAAACTGTGAAACTAGAAAGACTTTCTTGGGCTTTAATAGAAAAATATGCTTTTATTATTACCATTTCTCTTTTAATATAATTTTTACCCTTCAGATTTCCCAAATCAATGTAAATAGACAGGCACACAGCTTTTGTGCAATGATAATGCTTTTGTAAATGTCTCTATTTGTCCTATTGGTTAAAAATATTGTAATCTTTATTGGACAAATATATTTTTTTTTAATACTGGCTTTTTCCAGTGATCTATCATGTGTAGTGTACAGTGAAAAGGTTTAACATTTTAAGCTAAAAATCTAATTGTTCTCTTAGATTTGCTTGCCAAGGATGAACGAGAGCACATGGCTGCTTCCCCAGACTGACTGACCTTGGCGTCCACATAGAGCATCACTGTTTTCAAAAATGAAGGGTGCTTACTTGTTCCCTTTTTTCTGTATTCTGTAGGTCTCATAACAACAAACTGCAGTCTACAGCTTCTTAAAATTCAGCGTGTTAACGTAAAACACAGCAAGAATCTGGTTGTCTGAACTATTTTAAGGAGCCAGATGTTTTAGTCAGGGTACCCTGACAAGACTTGACCTAAACTCATTTTTATTGGTCATAACAGTCTAAATACATTCTGGGCCAATTTTGTCCAACGGACAAGGGAAAAACAAAGTCAACGACACCATTATCTTGTCAAGATCAAATGGTTTTACTATTGTGGCAGAAGCGGGAAAACTTTGTTTATTGAAAAAAAAAAAAAGAAAAAGCAAGAAAAAAAGATACTATGGGGTCAAGTGTAACTCCATGGAAATGCCACGTCTGCTCTTCAGTGAAGAAGCTGGTTTAGAGTCTCACAGAAAACTTTTGACTGTATTTATTTATTGTTGCAAAAAAGACGCTTTTTTATTGCTGCCCTCATTTGTCAGCTAATTATTTTTTCTTATACAATCCAGCCTCAGTTACATGTAATCCGCCCTGTATCTTATCATGATTCCTGTAGGTAAGAGTACAAGATGACCTCTAGATGTCTTTTCTTTCTATGAAAGGAGCTGCTATGTACACATGTGCACACACACGACTGGGAATCAACAATGAGTTTATTGTTCATGATAGACAAAAATTAAGCTTTCGGAAGGGCTGGGCAGACGGTCCTGGGCGCCAGACTGCGTTGCCTGGAGTCTGTCAGCACAGCTGTCCTTTCCTCTGCACCGGGCTAACACGACAAAATCTATTTGAAGGTATCTTGTTTGTAAACATTTGTCAGATTCTAATTTTTTCTTTTTGTATTAAGATTCAACTATGGATGTATATGAAACAAAATAAATGGAGATAACTTTTCTCCCGCAGCTGGAGGTGTCTTTGTGCACTGCTGGTTGTCTGTCAGCCTTGTGGGGAAGGGAGGGGCTCCCCGGGGTGCAGGCAGCATGGTCGGCTGGCTGGCGCTTCCAGGACAGCAGCGGCCCTGCGTGGCCCTCGGCGTGTAGTTCCCAGTCCGCTGTCACCGCGCTGCACGTCCCCAGGGTGCCAGTGCTGTAGCTCGGCGGAGGCCCGCCGCCGAGGGTGCCAGGCGCAGCGCGCATCCGCTGCGTCGCGCTGGCCGCGTTCCCGGCCCGAGAATCGTTGCGGACAGCTCCTTAAATTCTGTGAAGGGCATTTTTAGATGATCTCATCCTCTGAAGTTTTTGTTGGTTGGGTTTTTTTGTGCTGTGTAAGGAAAAGTAGCAGAAACTGTGGGGAGACAATAGACGGCAGAGGAAGGTGTACTCTGCATGTCTTTCCTTTCAGCCCTGTAACCGTCCACAGTGTATGGCTGCACTGCAAGAATGGCTCCTCCGAAACCTGCCAGGTAGATCACGCAGTTTTGCAAAACTTTTCCTAGATTTTGCACTAACCTGTCAGCTTTGTCCTACCAAGTTCTGGAAATCGCCTAGTTACTGTTCTTTCAAGGTTTCCTTCTGTTTCATGTTGCCCTGCTATGCAAACCTTGCCCAGACCTTAGTTTCTTAAAAGGAAGATGTTGCTACAGTTGCCAGTTCTCTTAATACAGGCTCAGGTGTATAGGTCCTTCTGTCAGCGTCAGTTTTATGTAGCGAAGCCCATTCCTTTTGTACATAAAGATGTCACTTAAACCTATACTTACAAAATAAAGACACTAATTGCTCAATCTGGAAACAAACTTTTTGTTTAAAATATTAAAATGAAAAAATATTAAAATGGAAGTAGTTCAATACAAGTTATTTGTCCTTTAGTTTTTAAAAAATGTTACATATTGTATGCACTGTGCTGATGCAAGAATTCTACATTTTAATGAATCAAGTCATTCTGCATCTCATCACATCACAGTATTTCTGTACTATTTACTCATATATATATAAATATATATGGGCTTACTTTAAACTTGTTGCGGCAACAACTTTCCTACCTGTAGGCAATAGATTGCTATGTTTTTACAAATTGTGGCAAATTCTAAACAGTAACTTTTTGTACTTAATAGGACCTTTCATCCTAGAAAAATAAAATGTTTTTGACATTGCATTTGGTGCAGTTTCTGATCAAGCAGTGGCTCCTTGGTTACTTTCTGAATCTTGTCAAATC